GTCTGCTCTGTGCAGCCTGTTCTGGCTGATGGGTTTCCTTCCCCCACAGCTGCTTTGCTCTGGAGGAGAGGCCAGGGGCTGCAGCAGCACCACTCAAAGGGCTGAAGCCCCCTGCTCCTCCCCTCATATTTTGTGGTCGCTCAGTCTGAGCAGCAGCTGGAAAGAAGGGGTGGGGGTGTGTTGCTGGAAAGATGGCGCAGGCCACTTCTTTCCTGTCTCGTTCCTTGCCAGTGAACCCTAGGATCGCCTAAGGGAAGAAGCCTCCAGCGTGGGAAAGGGGGGGAGGGGGTTTGCATGGGGGGAAAAGACCCTTCCTAGATTATTAAAAAGGAGAAAAAGCTATTCTTTCATGCTGTTCTTCCTGCCAGGAAAAAAAATAATGTGCCAGGAAAACGGTTCTTAAGGACAGAAAACTGGAAAGGTAGAATCAGTCCTGTTTGCAATGTAGAGGGTATGTGTTCAACCATCCCAACTAACTCATCAAGAGACCTGTGAAACTGTGTTGGGGGTCTCTGGAAGGGTGCAGGAGCGCTCTGGATCTTTTAAGAAAGCCTCCCATGAAGTGATTCAGGAAGCAGACGTTCCTCTGGAGCCTGTCAAAGGCCACATTTGACCAATCAACAAAGCAGGCTTATGTGAGAACGCCGATACTGTGAGGCACGTGCAATATGTTTAAACTGTTTTCTGGGTTGGCACAACACTGAACTACAGCGGAACAAAATGCAAGGTTAACGTAAATGGTGCTGGTTCAGATGTGTGTGAAACAGGGCTGTACATATGAGGGACCAAAGCAACCACGTGCCTGGCACAAAGGCCAATGAATCCTCTGCTTGGGTCCCTCTGTTATGCCCTCATGTTCAAAAGAGCCCCTTTTCTGGGTCAGATTCTGGGCCTCTTCCTTGACCAACTGGACCTAGCCTGTGGGCTTTCCTGTTTGAGTCTGTGAAATGGGATTGGAGATAAATTTGGTCAATCACATCTTTCCAGTTGCAGCCAGAGCTCTTGGGAAGAGCACCCTGTGAGAGTCCTTCTGACCTTCCCTCGACACAGAGTTATGGCGCTGCCAGCTCCCTCTCTTTGGACCGAAGCTTGCAGGCTTTGGAAGGTGTTGCCATGCCACTGGGTGCGTGCTGACAGGTACCTGCCGTCTGCTGCGGCTGAGCGTGTGGACCGTCTTCCGAGGCTGCCAGCGCTTCCAGGGCCTGAAGAGTGGAGACCAGAGCGTCGTCCAAGTCCTGGGCGTGGTCTCGAACCGTCCGTGTTTGCATGCTGTCGATGAGCGTCACAGGAATCTCCTCATAGAGGATGCCGCAGAGGTGACGGCCTTGCTCCTGCCCCTTGGCTATGGCTGCCGCCCGGCGCTTAGAGTCATCCTCATCAGAGCTGTTGTCTTGGAAACCAGGAGGGGGGGCGGCAATGGCGGGGAGAAGGGATGTGGTTTCGTCCTCCTCCTCATCGCTCCCGGGAGGGGGGAGGGACATCAGGTCCACCATGTTGTCCCGTGTGCCGCCCCGGTGAGAGGCTGGCTGCTGGCGCCTGGCTTTGGCCTTGCAAGAGTCGCAGTACAGCTGCGGAGGCTGGCTGCCCTGCTGGCTGTCCATGGTGTATGCCCTGGCCCGGTTGGTCCAGTGCTCCTGGTCCGGGCCCTCCGGATCACAGTCCTGGGCGGCCCCGTTGCAGTCTCGCCCGGAGCTCTTCGAGGTGGGATCAGACTTGGTCCGGGGCCGAGACTCCTCAAAGAGGATCACGTTTTCATTGATGTCTGTCCTGCTCTTGTGCTCCTTCTGCTCCCGCATGTGCAGGTAGCAAAAGCTGACGAGCTCCGAGTCTGAGGCCAGCGGATCTTGAGGGCGGCACTCTCCGGGGCTGGGGAGGGTGCCTCCCAGGAGCCTGCTCTCTTTCTTAGCCAGGTGCCCTGCTGGTGCAGGAGGCTGGTGGCTGACGAATGTGCCGCCATCTGAAGCATAAAACAAAGTGGCTGTTAAGACAGTGCCTGTGGGGAACAAGGTTACCGGAGGACATGAGCAATGGAATTCAGCCCATGCCCACTTGGCGCCAGGATCAGCAGATGACCCCTGTGGGGATCAATTGGTTTCAAGCAGCAGGATAAGGTGAACAAGACTCTCTCTCAATAATGGCTCTGGAAGTTTTTGCTGCTTCCTTTCTTCCCCCTCGGTCTCCCCCTCCCTGCGTTCACTTCTTGTACTTTCGGCTGAATCACAAATCGCAGCATGAGCAACACGAGAACCGTTTTTTGAGCAGGCACTGACTGTTGGCAAATGGCTCCCTGTTTGAGAATATGCTGAGCTGTGGTGGGGTTGGGTGTCAAGGGATGGTCTCCACCTCTGCACGCCTGCACAAAGGTTAAATTCCAAGCGCATCGAAAGAAGAAAGTGGGGCCGAAGCCTGGCCCACTGTTCTCCTGAGCTGCCAATCTTCTACGTGGTGAGAGAGGGATTTTGTTCCCCGTCCATTGCACAAGCTCCCCCTCGAGGGTGAGGCACAGAAAAGGCTGATCTGGGGTGGCCTGGATGCCTCCCCTGCAGCAACAGCTGACCTCAAGCCCCAGGCCGAGAGGGGGATGCTCCCCGCACCTTCTGGGACAAGCGACCTGCCGCCCCTGGCAAGCCTGCCCGCGTCCCTTCCAAGGCGCTGTGCTGTCCTGGAAAGGGACTCGAAACGTGGAAGCAAGTGAACGCCCTTTCGGCCCGTCCCAGAACCCCGCCAACGGCAACACAGAGACACGGAGACGAGGAACTCTGCTGTGGGAATGTTCACAGCTCCCACGCCCAGCCCGACTTTGGACGCCTGTTCCTCCCCCTCTGCATCCTCCCCGGTGCCTGGCCCAATGACCCTGCGCACCTCCCTTTTTCTCCCCTCCAGGGGGTCCTGAGTGGGAGAAGTCCTGAGTGGGACTGCTTTGAATTCGGTTCGATTGGTTATCGCTCCAAAGAGCATCTCTAGAGAACTCTGGCCCAGTGGCACTTATGCCAAGCTTTGCACGTGCACTGCCAGGGCCTGTGTGGCCTGTGAGGAAATAGGGCCGCGCAGGGCTGCCCAAGGGAGGCTCTCAGAGATGACAAGGAGCTTGAGAGGCAACGTGACCTGCTCTCTCTCGGGCAGGGAGAGGGAGAAGAGCTGGGCCTGCGATCCTGTGGGGCAAAAGAGCTCCCGACCCATCACTCTGGGTGCCTCCGGCCTTGCTTGGCTCAGCCGGGGAAGGGGGGATCCCCACGTTTTGAGGGGTTCCGACTGGGATGCTGCTGCCTCCAGAGCCACGGAGGAGGGGCCCATCACTGGAGCCCCCAGGTCGAGGGACAGCCCTGAGCCATGGGGGTCTGGCCAAGGGGCACAAATCACAGAGGATGAAACGCACCTGCCTTGTTCAGTGGAGGTGGCGGAAGCAGTGGCTGGCTGGTGGGCCGGGAAAAGATCATCCGCTTGGAATCCACCAGAAGGCGGCAGTAGCCAGCGATGAGGCAGGTGAAGTTGGTGGCCTCTGGCCATTCCATTAGCAGCACCAGGGGCTGGGAGGGAAGGAGAAGCCACAGGGTCAGAAGCTGCTTGGCCCCAGGACAAGCAGAGGCGGCAGCGGCGGCTGCAGTCAGCTCCCCCCCAGCAAAGGAAAGCAGTGGCTGCCCCAGAGCAAGCCCCACCCGGGAGCTGCTAGATCCCTTTCTGCCGGTGGGGCCAGGAGTGCCCAGCCTCGTGCCCTTCTGAGTCAGCGCCATCTCCGTCACGGAGCGGCAGGCCTGCCTGCAGTTGCACCTGCACAGCACAGGGGAGTCTCTGAATTTACTTTGCCCTCGCTGCCTGTTGGGCGAAGGGAGCGAGTTTGCGGAACTCCTGTGGTCTTTAGGCCGAGCTGGGAATTCACGGGCACGTGCCTGTGGTTTTCCTGGCAGCTGTTTGCTGCCACGGGGATGGCTTTTGCCTGCCGCTCTAGCCCACAGCCCTAGGCTGTGCTATTGTCCCCAAATGAAATATGGCCAACACGGTACAATCCAGCAGGGGAACAACCAAGAACCAGGGCAGCCGGAATTGCGGTCTTTTGTCAGATGTCTGTCCTGAAATTAATTGGACTGCCAAAAAGAAAAAAAAATGCTATCCCTGAGCGATGGGCAAGGACCTCCTGCTTATATTGTAGCTGCAAGCCTTAGAGCAGGTGGTCTTTGCCTCCATGGCCGGGGGAGGGGGAGAAGAGGAAGGAGGAGCCACCTCCACCTTCAAGACTTGGGCTCCACTGGCTTTCCTGAATCAGACTGGCAGGCCGCCCCTCTCCTGATGTAAAGTGCCTGCCACCTCCCCCCCAAGTACCTTCCTGTCCATCCAGCAGCTTTGGGCCCTGCCTTGTCAGGTGCTTTGCCTGTGTTCCAGGAGACCTGCCTTTCTGTTCAGGTTTTGGTCTCCATAACTCTTGGGGCCTCAGCTGAGTCAAGATTATCACAGGATTCCCTACCAACTCAGCCTGCGGGAAGGCAAACATTTTGGTGGATGGAAAGAGTGGTTCTGATGTCAACATGGCTGTGCCTGGATGCTCCGGTGTCAGTGAAGGCCTGGGCATTGCATTTAGGAGAGACCGTGATAGATCAGAACACGTTCAGAAGAACCACCAACATGATAAAAGGGCTGAAAGGAAGCACTTACGTTGCAGGAACTTTCATTCCATCCCTGTTCAGGGTTATCAGGATCTATGTGGCCTAGTTCAGATTAATCACATTTCCAACAGAAAGGAAATCGGAAAGAAGGCCCCTTCTATGCATAGCTTTGAACTCTGGGAAGGCAAACATGGAAGGAGTGCTGCAGCTTGCTAAATCCACGCAGCACTGGGATCTACGCTGGTTCACAAGCTGCAATTCCTGGCCAGCTGGTTGGGGTGGGGAAAGATCTGCCCCAGGAAGTTTGACACAGCTTGGGCCCTTAGGGGCTTCCTTGCTGCTCTCATCCCTGCTGGTAGCTCATAACAAGCCCCTTTGTGATCCACACCTCTTGACGAGCATCTGCTTGAACGTGCCTCCCGCAGAGTCAAACACAGCTCTTGTTTTTCCTGCGTGTGGACCTAAGGGCCTGAGGACAAGGCCCTTCTTCTTCAGGTACTTCCTAGCCATGGTTCCCTGGTCCCCTTTCGATGCAGCTGTGCTGTTCTCAAGAGGGAAACCTGGTGTGCATAGCCAGGAAAGGCCCCGTGCATGCCCTCCTTCCATCCCCACCGGGATGTACAGCCAGCAGCAGCAGCTGGACCTACCTTGGCATCCAGGATGCTTGTTTCCACCCGGGCCACACCTTGGTTCTCCCTGAAGAGCTGGATCTTGCTGACTTTGCTGAACTCGGACAGCACGGTGGTGAGGTTTGTCTTCAAGTCAATGACGTGGCTAATGCCATGGCGAGGCCCCACCAGGAGGGTGGTGGCTGGCTGTTTCTCATCCTGTGCAAGGCGAGATGCCAGTCAGAGAGAGAAGGTGGAGGCGGAGAAGGGAAGGGGTTGGTCAGAGGCAGGCCTTGGGCTCTGGCAGGGAGCCAGTCATTGCTCTCTCCCCTCCCTTACGCGCCAGAGTTACTGTACCAGTCCCACAGTGCTGAACAGGACGCCTGCAAAAGTTGGCAGCTCGTTCAGGATGCGCAGGTAGTGGAGCTTGGCTTGGGTGGTGGTGATCTGTGGAGAGACATTGTGCCCTTCTCCGTGAGGATGCCAAGAGGCCAAGGTCCCCTCAAGAACTGCTCTGCCCTGCTGACAATGGCAAAGCAGCGGCAGCTTTTCTGGAGGGTGAAGCAGTTCAGCTCTGGCAATCTTTCTTGGCTTGACTACTGCAGGGGGTTCTGCCTGGACCGTGCTGAAGGAGCGTCTGGCACAAGACATGGGAGACAAGCTACTAACTGATGCAAACTATTCCTGCACTGTCTGCCAGCTGTTTCTGGCCACAATGTCAAACGGTGGCACTGACCTTTAAAGCCTAGGGGGCTGGCGGCCTGACCACCCGAGGGGCTATGTGCCTGGGTGGCAACTCTTTGGACATTCAGGTCAGCAGGAGACCCCCTCTGAAAGATGCTCTCATTTTCTGGGGTCTGCTTTCAGGCGCCCAGGGGAGGCTTCTTCTGCAGCACGGTTGGTCCAGGCTAGGTTGCGCCCTCCCCCCATACTGGGCATGCAGCTGCTGCTACAGAAAAGCATCCTTGGTGGGGGCTTGCACAGCCACTGACCTGCCTTCTCATTTCAGCCCTTGCCCACTAGTTTGAAAGTTGCACCAGAAGGAGGTAAAGCCATGAGAGAAATTTTTCCCAGAAGAGCTGACTTTGGACTTTCTAAGAGGTTTCCTAGCAGCCCCGTTCTGTGAATGGAGAGAAAGGCTTCCTGTCTCACTACAGGTGTTAAGTAACATGGGGGAGTGGCCTTATCACCAACTTTGGTTTTTCTGTGCCAGCTTATTTTACGCTTTATATGGAATTGCCTATTAATCTTTGTATGCCATATCCCTCTATTTACAGGGAAAGACCGTTTGTAGAAAGAAGGAGGCCGCTGCGCGACGTTTCTCCAAGCGGATCACACACACCTAACGATGTGTCCAAACACCCGATCAACCTCGTAATCAGGAATAAAAGCTCCTGGCCACAGAGACTGTAAAGTCTGTTTCTGTGATGGGATGCATCTACCAGGAGGAGAGTGATGTGGGACCGCAAGGCTGTCGGGAAGGAGGGGGCACATTCCAGGAGGGGGGAGGCAGGAGGCAACACAGTCCGCAGGGGGAGCGTGGGAAGAGGAGGAGGTTCAGGATGGCCGCTCCCTGGAATCTCCCGGGGGGACACCTACTCGCTGCTGTAGCACAGACTGAGTTTGGCAAGGTTCTGTCGTTAAGGTGTAAGCAAATAAAGGAACTGTACTCGACTGGGCCATTTCATCACTGTGCTTGGGCTGGGCCTAACAGTTTCCAAATCCAGAGCACCTTTAAACAAGAAACTTGGTTTTTGTAACCAAGAAATTAATTTGATTACAGTATGCTTAAACTGTACCTCCACCAACCTGTATATAAACTAAACTACTACAGATGAAGGTCCTTCTCATCCTCCTCCTATGACCCTTGTTTCAGAGGATGCGCGCTTGAGCGCAGAGGAGAGCACGGGGCAGAATGGGCAACACAGCCCTAGGAAACCCTTCTCTATATTTCAGGTCACGTGTGTCCTTCTCTCGCAGCCTGCGGGAGGTGAAAGTGTGTGCTGGTGGGAGGAGACATCTGGGGCCGGGGGGCCACGCGGCTCCTCCCTGCTCTGGCCGCCACCCGGGCCTGGCAGGCCATGCTGAGACCTGGGCTGTCAGCCCTCCCGCATCCTCGCCTTGCCTTGGTGCCACCGGGGGGCTGGTTCTGATGCGCCTTCAGCTGCTGAGAAAGTGCCTTCCGAAGCCCCTTGTCTTTGATGCCTTGCAACAGCGAGGGGGGCAGAAATGGCTCGAGGCCCCATTCCTTCCTAGCAGGAGGGGAGAGACGGCCCGTGAGGGAAGGGCATGGCGGGTAGCCCTCCTTTCCACCTGCAGTCCCTGGGCTGGGGGGGAATGGGGCAGAGGAGTGGGCGCAGGAGGAGAACGGCTGCTAATCCCGGGAAGAGTCCCTCTGGCTTGGAGTCCCATCCAAACCAAGTCAGCACCCCTTTCCCATGCCGGGAGATGGCTGGGAGCACGTAAGAAGTGAGGCAGTAGATAAATCGCGTGAAGGAACGAAGAGCATCGAGTCTCCCTGCTCCAGCCCAGCCCCCCGGCCGCTGCCCCACAGGGATCTCGTCAGATGGAACATCCCGTGCCTTGGTGTGAGGGAGGCAGCGGGAGAAGGCAAGAGGGGCAAAGGTGCAGCCATCTTCAGCTGACCAGGAGAGGGGCTGGAGAATTTATGGGCAGAACCGGAGGAAGGCTTGCGGGGTCGGTCCAGTGGCCAGAGGGAGCTGAAGGCCCTGCCAGAACAAAACTGCCAAGGCGGGCTTCGTGCAGGGAGAGACTCGGGGCCCCTGGAAGCGGCTTGTGCGTGGCTGGGCACGTGAGGGGAGATGCGAAGCGGCTGCCGCTTTCGCTGCAGAACTTACTCCACGTTTTTGAGAGAGACTTTCTGGCTCGGCCGCGTGGCTGAAACGGTGATGTAAATGTGCAGGGCGGTCAGGCCAAGCAGCATTTCTGGTTTCGGCTCCATCCCAAATCGTTCCCTGATCACATCGTTGCGGCTCTGGGGAAAGAAGGCGGGGCTGCTCAGGACGGCTACTCTCCCCTATTCCCCTCCATGCTGCAGCACGAGGACCTTGCTCAGGCCCGCAGCTGAGTCAGTGAACAAGCAGCTGCCTCGAGTCTTTCGGGCACCTTCACTGCACGCTCTGCTTCCAGCACAGCTGTGCTGCTTGGCGGTGGTTGCAGGCAGGAGCCCCCTTGGGTCATCCTGGGGCCAAGGCGCTCGGTTGGAGCCCCAAGGAAGGCAGAGTGGAAAGAGGGCCAGCCCCTCTGCAGCAAAGCAAGGGGGTACCTTGCGCTGGTAGGGAAGGAAGCCCTGGGAGGACCTGTGCCCCCCCCGATGTTCACCTGGATGTACAGGTACTCAAAGGCCGCAGGGTCTCTCTGCAGCAGCTCCACGGGGTCTTTGGGAAAGAAGCTGATGCGGAAGAGACATCGCATTCCTTGGTAGTGTGTCCTCTGCACCACCTGTGGAGAAGCAGAAGGGGGAGGCCGGGCAGGTTTGCAGGAGCCTCCCTGCAATCCTCTGAATTGGGAGGTCCACATCTGGCAGAGGTTGCTGTGTATTTGGATGGTAACTGGCTAGCCTTTTCTGAGCAGAGGGGAGGATCACCGATGGCGCTTCCAGCCCCCCTAAGTGCTGCAGCCAAGGCTGCACCAGGTTCAAGCCCCTTTCAGGGCCCTGGTTCCTTCCCAGCACAGAAACTTTGGCACAGAACCTCAGAAGTCTTCCGGAGCAGGAATCCTCAGACAAATGGCTTTGTCTGAAAACCTCCAGTGACTCCAGAAGGCAAGCTGTCCTTAACAGCTCTCACAGCCAAGCAGTTCCTCCATGTTTCAAGTTTGGATCTCTCTCTGAAAAGCTTCTACTCGGTTACCTTCGGGCACCACGGAAAATCAAGCCACGCCCTCCACCCTGTGGCAGCCCTCCGAGTATTGGAAGGCTGCTGCCACGACTCTCCCCTTTGCCTTCTCTTCTCTAGGCTAAACCTCCCCGGTTCTTTCAGCCGCTCTCGGTAGCATCCAGCCTCCAACCCCTCGCTGTCCTTGTTGCTCTTCTCTCTCTTTCCAGTTCCTCGGCGTCTGTCTTGCATTTTGGTGACCGGAACTGGGCACCGTATTCCAGGTGTGGTCTGACCAGGGCAGCACGGAGCTGCACTCTCATTTCCTGTGGTCTCCACATTGTATCTCCACCGATGCAGCCCAAAATTGCATTGGCTCTTTGGGCAGCCAGAGCACACTGCTGGCTCATGCTTAATCTGTGGTCCACCAGGACACCTACAACCTTCTCACAAGTGCTACTGCTAAGCCAGCAGTACCACCTATCTTGTACTTGTACAGCTGATTTTTCCTACCTAAGTGTAGAACCATACATTTCTCACCACTGAACTGCATTCTGTTGGAAAGGGCCCAGCGTTCAAGTCTTACCAGGGTCCCTTCGAACCTTGAGCTGGTCTTTTGAGGTGCTAGCAATCCCCCACCACCACCACCTTGCGTCATCTGCAAATTTGCTTAGCACCTATCCCCTCCTCTCAGCTGTGGCAGGAGGAGAGCAGGCAGCCATGGAAGGGCTGCGTTCTTCCAAGGCGGCTTCCTGCTCAGTCACGGTGGGAACCTTGAGGAGGCCTAAAAAGGCAGCAGGGAAAATGAAGCCACCACAGGGCAGTGGCTTACGTGGGCCAGGGGCTGCTTGTCCTGCAGAAGAAGGAACTTATGGCTCTGTTCAGGGCTGGAGTACTCCAAGACCAGGGAGAAATGCTCAATCTGCCTCAGGGACAGCCGATCCTGCAGGGTCATCATCACATCCTGGCCGGAAAGAGGAAGAGAGGAGCTAACTGGGGGGAGAGGGCATCCTCAATGCTCAGAGCTGCCCCCCCCTCCCAGGGAGGACCAGCGTGTTGCAGCTCCCCGGGGACAGTGGGCCCAGCTGCTCAGCAGCTCTCGGAACGAAAGGAACAGGGCCAGGCACCAGTGCAGGGGGGAACACCCACCACCCCTTCCACGTCTTCCTTCCTGGGCCGTTCACGGGCAGAGGTGGTATGTGTCAGGAGAAACAAGGCAACCATGGGAATAAACGGGCCCAATTGTGCCCGTTGGCAGAAATAGCGCCCCTCTCCACGGAGGCTGGTGGGAAGCCTGCATCTGAACCGGCCCGACAGGCTGCCTGGCTTGGGAGTAGCCTGGCAGCAGAACCCTCCTTTGGCAGCCACCTACCTTGACGGTGGTTCGGCCATCAAATGTGAAAGACTTGATCTGTCCGTTCTCAAGGAAAACCTTCAGCACGTTTGGAATAAGGAGAAGAGCTTCCTTCTTCAGCATGTCCTTGGAGAACATGAGGAAGCCCATCCACCCACCGAGCAGAGGCAGGACAGAGAAAAGAGGGTTAGAGGTATAGAAAGAGAAAGAGAAAGAGAAAGAGAAAGGTGGGAGGGAGGGAGAATTGTCCTGGCTCTAAAAGGCCAGGCCAGGCCAGCAGAACAGGATCCCACTGCTGCAGGAGACCTTTGAGGACTGACCAAACGGTGCATGCCTGCCACACCAGATCTCCGGTAGTGCTCTCAACTGGAGCCCAGTGGGCCAGATGCTCTGTGAGGGGCTTGGGTCGAGGGTGGAGGCCCCCAGTGGGGCAGAGCCCAAAGCGGGGATGGCTGCATGTGTACGTGGTTTCTGTCTCTGCTGGGAGCTGCTGCAAGGAAGGGAGGGGTCAGCTGCCTCCTGCCTGGCCAAAAAGGGCTGTTGCTGGGCCCTCCCCTCAGTCAAGTCCCAAGCAAGGTCCTATCCTGCCTAAGGTTGATTTGAACATAAACTGAAACAGTTGCCTCCAGAGCTCGGTGAACTTTGAGGGGTGTCCCCAGAAACAATCTGTCCTTAGCAATGCCTCCTTTTCTTCCACACCAGATTGAGATATATGTACCTCCTTAACGGTTTCAAAGAACACAAGGGCCTTTTCCCACCCTACATCCACACATAGCACAATATCAGAGTTCGTTGGACGTGTGAATTGGTATGCAATGGAGGCCCTCTCCACTGGCCTCAGCTGGGCTTTCTAAAGACCTAGCTCAGGGAGCCACGTCCACCTGGAAGGATGGCCTTTAAAGAGCTCTTCCTCTGACAGCCCTGCAGGGTTGTGGGGGTGAACAGAGCCTTTTCGGGAACTGCATGGAATCCACTGGGGAGGCACTCACTGGATCAGTCTCGCCAATGGTGACGTGTTCCGAAAAGCGCACCTTCACAGGATTGGACCGCAGCTTCGCCTTTTTGGCGGCACTGATAAAGGCTGATTTGGGGGACTGCAAAGAGAACACACGTCAGATTATCTCTGCACAACCAGACCAAGCCTACAAGCCAACGAAGGCTCATAGTGCTGGATCCTCCTCCCTCCCTAGGGCTCAGATGAACCCAAGGCCTTGCCTCCCCTGAGATCTGGGGGAGATCTGGCCATGCTGCTCTCCGGAGAAGGGAGGACAGCCACATGCCTGCCTGGCTCACACTTCCCCCTTTTCACCAAGCTGCGGCCTCTGAAGAAGAAAGGGGCAGGTGCCCAGGGCCTTCTCAGGGCCAAAGGTTTGGCACAGCCTTCGTTGCTAAGGGCACAACTGTTCAGCCTGTTCTGCCACTTGGGCTCTGGGGCATCGGGTTGTCCTCCCTGCTCTCTAACAGTCCCTGCCCTGGCCAGGCAAAGGCTGTGGGGCACCCTGGCAGAGCACACCACAGTCTCTAGGTCAGACCTCCAACATTTCCTCCCTGTGACCAGAGAGCAGGGCACTTCTCCTTTGCATAGGATGAGCAACAGTTATTCTCTGGCCCATAATGGGGGGGGGGGGGGGAGTTCCAGCTGTGGGAGAGGGAGCAAGGTTGCTTTCCTCCTGCCTTGCTGGGGGTCTGGGAAGCAAAGGCTGTGTTTCTCCCTTCAGAGAGAGGAGCACATGGGCTCAGGAGCCACAGGAAGGGAGGAGAAAACCCAGACCCAGAAGCAGCCAGAGGAAGTCCTAGGGATGGTGCACGTGGGGCAACGAAGGACAGACGTCAGGGCGGCTCCCCCGAGGCCTGCGGTTTATTGATGGAGGAGAAAAACAGGGCTATCTCTGGAGTCCTTCCTGTGTAGGTCACAGAGGAGCAGCACCACCTTCTGCCTGGGACTGGAGAAAGCATGAACCCGTAGCCCTGCCCCTTCCAATGGCATGGAGGTCACGATAGCCAAGACTGGATCCTGCTGCTGCTGGCAATCGTCAGAAAAGCGGGGTAGTTTCACTCTGGTGCCCTGGTCATTTTCTGGCTGGAAGCAATACATTCAGAACGTGGCCAAGGCGATCCAGCCTTCCTTCCACAACCCTGGGTTGTGTTGCCTTTGCCACAACAAAGGAAGGCAAGCAGAAGTGGGATCAGGAGCTTGTGGCTCATCCCATTATGGAGAACCAGCCATTTCTTCACACATGGTGTGAACAAGATAATCATATTCACTGGTAACTTGCCATAAACTCAGTGCTTCTCCCACCACCCCTAAAGTTTGGCTCCCACCTGATGAGTCTGTAGCACTGTAAGGACCACGGCCTCCTTGGCACCTCTGCAAGGAAAAGGGAGAACGAGCTGCTTCCAAGGGCATCGCTGAAGGAGCTTTGCAGCGGGGGACGGCGGGAGCTCCCCAGCCCACCATGTCATTCCCTGGATCCACAGAGCAGGCTTCCCTTTTTGCAAGCCAGGTTTTATTCCTCCCCCACCCCCAATCGCTGCTTTGCCTGGGATGGCCTTGGCCTTCAATCACGGGGGTTCACTCCTCCCTGCCCTCAAGATTATGCAAAGGTCCAGAGGTCAACGCTAGAGCAGGCGGTGCTTTCTGGAGCAGCCAAAGGTCTCCAGGTCAAAGTGGTAAAGGCTTGGCTTGCAGGCCCGGGGGGCAACTGAGTCTCCCCCTTCCATTCCGGCATCCCCCTCTTACCTGACAAGTTCTATGACTCTCTCTCTGGGGGCGTCACTGACATCTTCATGATTTATGGCCAAAATTTGGTCACCTGCCAAGAGCTTATCCTCAGATGGCCCTCCTGTCAAAGAAAGGGCAGTCACTGTGAGTCACTGCCCAGGGGGGCTGGGGCCATAGCAGCCTCTCGTGTTTCCATTGCGTGCCTGCGGTCCCACTGCACCTGCAGGCGTTGCCTGGCTCTCTTGCTGCTCACACCTTTGCTCCTGGAGTTCCGCACTCTGGATTCCTTGAATTGGGAACAGGCTGCTCGGACTGTCCTGGATGGGTTTTGAGTCCAAACAGCTCTGCAATTTGAACTGGCTGTTTTGAACTTGAAATGACATCACTTCAGCACGGTCAGAATAGCCTGTTTTGAACCCAAGGTGTTTTGCATGTTCCCACTTTACTCCTATTCACTCACATGGCTTTGGGGGTGGGGGGATCCTGGTATAGCTGTACCCCCAGTGAACAGAGAGGAGTCCCCTGTGCCCACTCCTCATACTTGTGACCTTCACTGGCCCAGTTCCTCAGTGCCTTTCCCACCGCACCTGAGGTCACGGAGCGAACTACCACAGGTCTCTCACTTCCGGCCACAAAGCCAAATCCATAGATGGGGTGACGCTGGATTTTCACCTGTCGGAGGGCCTCTGCAGGCAACTGGCCACATTCCATATCATCCCAGCAGTGCTCCTCCTGCATCACATGTCTGGGCATGTGGAGACACAAAACAACAGAGCGCCATTGGCTGACTTCCGCAGTGGCTTCTGTCTCCCACCAGAGAGGCCTCCTTGCACCCTCTTCCTCAGATGCGCCCGTGCACTCATTCTTGGCCTGGGAGGGCCACAAGGTCATCTCTGGCACTACCTGGCCTGGACCCGATTCCTGGGGGGGTGGCACTTCAGGGATCAGCAGCAGAGTTGACATCCCCTCCTTTCCCAGACACCTGTCACTGAACCATCTCTTTCCAAAGCAACAGCTTGCCAGTTTTCCCCAGCACTCTGGCATTCAAGAGGAATAAGATCTGCAAAGGAGTCATGAGATTGGAAGGGAGGAAGTACACTCCCACCTGAGGACCAGCACTAAAGCCGAGGCAGAGCCCAAGGCTGGTCTCTTGGCAATGAGATTCACCCCAGGAGCTCCAATGGGAAAAGCAAGGACATGCCAGGGAGGAAGAATCCAAGCAGGATTCACCCCAGGAGGCCGCTTAGGCAGGGGAACAGATACTGTTCTTCTCTCTCCTGTTTCACACATATTTTCTTAAGGGCTCTGACATCCAGAGGATCCAACTCCGTAGACAATGCTAAACCGGGAAGAGATTTCTGCTGCCAGGTGTGGCTGCCTTGGGGGAGACATAGTCCGTGGCTCCTTGGCCCTTGGAAGGACAGGCTGAGGCATTTCTCCTCCTCTGCAGCACTTACAGCCTCCAAGTGAAAGGCTGTGCTTGGGGCTGACTGGCAGCTTCATGCACCTCAGCACAAATTAACACTCTGTTGCTAGATCTCCTGTTTCTGATGATATCCCAAGGTGCACTCTCCTTCCCCTTCTGACCTCCTGTTGGTGGAGCTTTTGCAGGCCAACCAAGTAAGGCTCTGTCTCTCTCGGCAGCCCGGGCTGGTGGGGAGCACCCTCCCTTCCCTGGGTCCCTTCCCAGTTTTGAGCCCCAGGAGGCTGACCCCGGTGCTGTGTGGCTTCAGCTACAGGCTGAGAAGCTCATCAGGAAGGTGCACAACATCCCTTCTGTTCACCACTCCTGCCATGGCCTGCTTCCTGCCCCACCGGGTCATATGCTTCAAGCCCCACGTTGCCTGTGTCAGGGGTCTGTGAGACTCATGGTGGCTCAGCACATATGACTATGGGATACGTCAAGGCCAGAGGTCACTGAGCAACAATGGTGCCCAGCCTGCCTCAGCCGGAAGCTGCTGGAACTGGTCTTCCAGCTCCTTCTGTGGGCCACAGGTCCCCTGCTCTGGCTTGAGGGTCATCTGATGAAGGCAGCAGCACCAGTTGCTAGGGTTCTCTGCCTCTGCAGACTGTAAGGTGAACGCAACACTCTTCCCTGCCCCAAAGATGGAGGGGGCCTGGCTTGCTTCTGCCTTTGGATTCAGGGAGATTGGCTGGGGGGTGAAGGGCACCCTATTAATAAGAGGGAACAGGTGAGGAACTCACATCTGCTTGCTCAAAGACATCGCTTCTGGTCCAACCCTCTTGCCACTGTTTCTGCCCACATCCCAGCCTCCCGCAGGGCATGGAGGGGGGCATGGGACCCCTGCGCACGAGGGAAGCAGCTGCCCGGGTGCTGGTGCCCTGCCACTGTCCAGAGCGCTGCTCTGAGCAAAGCAGCATAAAGGTGTCCCGTCTGTGTGCACCACGACTCGCCTCTCTCAGCCCTGATCCTTTGTCTCCAGGTGCAGGAGGATCCCTCGCTTTTCTCCCTAATCCACATTTTAGGGAAGATCTCACTCACTCTGCTACCCTTCTCCTTCTCTTCCTTTTTTTCTAAACACAAGCAGCGTTGGGCAAAGGAGCTTCTTCTGCTGCCCTGAGACCTTCAGCTGCGCCCACCCTCCCCCCGCCCCTGACCCGCAAGCACAGAGGGGTAGATGTGACCTTCCTGCGCTCCTTCCTGAGTATGATGAAACATCAGGAAGAAAATAACGTGCATTATGCTGATGAATATATTGTGCATACTTAGTATATATCATTAGAGTTCTGTGCAAATCCAACGTCTCCATAGCTGGGAACAGAGCTGGGTGGAGATCACCCTAGCAAGCTGCGATTTTCTTTGGCTCCTCAGAGGGAAATCAAGGTAAAACACTGCAGAGAACGATCCTTGCAGGGCCACACCTCGGGGATGCAGGCCCTATGGATGGGGGCAGCGGGTTTGGTGATCAGTCGTGAGGAATCTTTGTGGACTGTTGCACCATCCCTGAGACACAGCAGGGCTTTGCCACAAAAGGCCAGGCTACGGAGAACGATGGCGAAGTGTCTTCTCCCCTCTGCCTGCTCGCACCTCAGTCCCTTGGGAACACAGTGAGAACGGTTCCAGGGCTGTCTCTGCGCCAGCCAGAGGACGGTGCATCTGGGTTTCCCCAGGACCAGCACGGGCAGCCCCTGCACAACCGGCAGGGCCCCAAAGGGCCCTCCGGATACATAGGGCTGCAATGCCAGCACAGCCAATGCTCTTCGGGGGGGGGTGTTTGTGCGTGAAGGGTTTTTAGCCCTGCCCAGAGACTGAACTGGCTGTTTATCTCAGTAGTACTTAAGTCACATGCCGAAGAGGAAGACGGTGGCGGAGCAAGCTGAGAAAGGCACGGTGGCAATGGAAGAACCTCCTTGATGGGAAAGGGCCCCATGAAAGCTCAAAGGGGCAGATGTTGCTCCTGCACAAGGGGAGACGGGCTCCTTTTTTCGCAGCTGCTCTGCCCCTGAAGCTGTCTCCAACTTCTGGCTGCAGCCCCGGCTCCCCGCTTTTAAGAAGCCTCCTCCACCTCTTATTTGAAAGAAGCTGTTCAAAAGTCCCTCTGTGGCAGTCCCAGCGCTAGCCTGTCCTCGCAGCCTCGCCTCTGGGGAATCGCATCATCAGAACATGGGAAGAAGAGGACACTCTGGACATCTTCTGGCCCTCTGGGAACCAGCTACATTGTGGGGGGGGGGCATAAGGAGGGGAATCTGAGAGGGAAGAAGGCGACAAGAGAGCCCCCCCGGCTGAGCCAAGGCATGGCACTTCTCTCAGCTTTCACTGACTGTGTAGCTGAGTGTACTAGGGCCATCTGAGCAGGCCTGGGGGCAACCACCTTTAGATTCCTGATGGAAAAAGACATAAAGTCAAGCTAGGATGCCTTTTGCAGACCTGACACAGTCTGTGCTATGCATCATGGGGCTATCTGGGCGGGATGAAGGTTCTCCCAGAATGTGCAACCTGGGCTGCCTGCACCAAGGCAAGGGCTGGTTGGGTGCAGGGGCACGGGTGCCCTTCTAGCAGATCCCTGGATGGACCCGTTCTCCCAGCCGGAAGAAAGAGGCTGGCCGCTTTGCCTGTGCCGCATCCCTCAGGCCAACAGATGCAAGTTCTTTTCACCTCAAGACCCCGTATTGGCTTTTGCTGCGATCGTCCTTTATCGAAAGCTTTGGTTCCCTTGCTGCAGGGACGATAGTGCCTTTGTACTAGGCTGAGGACCCAGGTGAAATTTTTGCAGATGCTGCCCTTGTTCAGATCGAATAGCCCCTCCTGACCATATGCCTATTGCCAACAGGAGGCACAGGACAGGAAATCCACAAGTGAGAGTTATTAAGCCATGTGGGTTGTGCACCAAAATCCCACAGAAACCCTTCTGTGATTCAGATGGGCACCTCCAGACTGGTCCAGCTAGTGGCCCTGGCAGATACCTGGACTAAATATAACCAGCCCAGAAGGTGGGCAGCCTGAAAGGATGGCACCCGCCCATCCTCCCTCCAAAGCAGGTTCCCAACTTTAATCTCCCTTCAGAAGTTGCTTCAGAACACCTCTGGATCAACCAAATCCACGGAACTGGTCCTTTCGTATGAGGGAAACCCACGTGGAAAAAGCACTGCTTGAGGAGCAGCCAAAAACCAACCAGAAGGCATTTTCTGGAAAGAGAAGGAAAAATCCACCACAGCGCCAGCTGGAGCTGCCTGCTTCGGGCACTCTGGGTTTTCCGCTGCCTTGCTTGGACTAAGCAGACCCAAGAGACGTGGTGGGCCCTCCTTATCCAGCTGCAGAATAAGGCTCCAAAGACCAGGTCAACCACGGAAGATAAAGACCAGGAGACGTGGCAGCTCTGCAAACTGTGTCTTATTTCTTCAAGAGTGGGAAGCTTCTGGTTGGCTCTGAGGGAGTCTGGGAACGGCATGCCCGTCAAGTGCCAGTCCCCAGCTGTCCCAGGCAGGAGAGCGCATTTCCTCCCTGCCTCTCCTGTAAGACTTTTACACAAAAAAGCCAATTAATATCTGTGTGCCCAGTCTCTGGTTTTGTTTCCCCCGTCACACGCAGCTTTTGCTGCATAGCTTTTGGTTGGATACAGCCAAGAAAATCTGACGCTAAAATCTCAGCGATTCTGGCTCCTTCTAATAAAACTGGGAGGGGTGAAGGCTGCTTCAAAGGGCCCACCTTGTCACAGGCACAACAAAGCCCTGCATTCACGGCATGGGACCCCAGAGCAAGTGCTTCCAAGGAACTGCCCCAATTCTCCTCCCCCACAAGGAAGCGGCCTGAACCTGGGCCCCCCCAGCAGGTAGCGAGGTACTCACTGTTGGCATCCAGCAGCCGAGAGCAGAGACGGCTTGCTCTGGCCTGCTCCCTGCTAGCATTGGCGACGGTGGTGTCTGTGGAAAGAGCGGAGAGAGGCTCTGAGCTCTCAAGCCTTCGAGATCCAGCCCCATCTGTGATCGGAATCTTAAAGAGCTGCCTGGCTCAGCCCCAGAACCTTGATGGCCACGGAGGGAGCTTGGAGCAAACTCTGGCAAGTGCCAAGCAGCTGTTTGCTGGCCGGTTCACAGGGTCCTTTCACAGCAGAGCTGTGTCAGGAAAGCAGCTTCTTCCCTCCACGCCAGATCCTCAAGAGAAAGTGGGGCAGAGAGCTCCAGCTCTTCTCTTTGAGCAGGAAGCTCCTGACAAGGAGGGGAATGACTCCCGCACTAGGTGGTGATTCCCAAGTCGTGGCTTCGAGGGGAGATATCTAGGAGAGCTCACAGTTCTGGGCTCAGAAGGGAAAGTCCAGGGAGGCAGATATTCATATCGTGATTGCTTTAAATTTTCCAAGCACTTACGTAGCTACAGAGCTGGCTATGAACCCTCATTCCAGTTAATCCTGGCAAGGAAGAAAGGTGGCCTACCTCACGCTACAGAAAAAGATCCAAGAGAACTAGGCCTTGTTCCACTTTGTTTGGACGCAGAGTCCTCTCCTGCTCTGCTCTGCGCTGTTCTTTCTGCCCCTTCGGATGCACCGGTTAAAGAACCTTTCAGAAATTCTCCCTCAAGCTCCCCTAGCTGGCAGTCCCAGCCCCCTGTTCTTCAGTCCTGCCCTGACCCAGCAGCTGAACGGGTGGGTCTCTACGCAAGGAAGGGTGCTGCCATTGCAATGGGAAATCAGCACTCGAAGAAGGCACGCTGGGGAGGGGGAGAACAGCATGCGGACTGCGTCCGTCGCCTCTGTTTGTTCACGAAACGCTTCCACAAAGAGGAGGAGCACACTTCTAAGCACCCCTTTGCAGAGCCAGCACCCCTCCTGGCTTCACCTGGGCGCCTCTGTGGTCCAAGCTTGATATTGCCACCGTGTGAGGATTAGCTCCATCCAGCTCCAATCTGCCTGCTGCACATTGGCCTCAAATGCACTGTTCCTCCCAGTGAGAAGTGCTTTCCCAGGGCTGTGTAGAAAGCAGCAGTCATGGACACAATCACCACTTAGCTGCAACCAGCAAGTTGAGATTTGGACTGACTTCCCCCCCCCCCCCCCCCTCCCCTCCCCCCCCCCCCCCGCCCCCAGTATCCTGGGCCATGCTCCAAAAGCTTGAACTTAATGCTATTAACTTTGAAATTTAGGAAATATCTGCTTGACTACTCACAATTAGGGTGGTTGTGTTGGAGTTAGAATTTACTGCAAACTGATAGGTGTGTCATAGAATACAATAGGATTGCAAAAGCTTGTAAATGGATAAAAATAAGATCAGGAGGAGATTAGAACCTCCTGAAAGAGGAACTAGAAGATAAAGATGAAGAGGAGATGAGCTGTTGCTACTGACAAAAAAATTTGAGCCAGTGAGGGGGATCAGAATTTGATATCCCCAGTCAAGGGAGGAGATTTGTCTTAAGGAGCAGAGAGGCAGAAACTGAACTCAGAAGAGTTAAAAAAGA